AAAAAAACGAGAAAAAAGAAAAAAATGTAGTTCTGAAGAGAGGAGATAAATCCGATAATTGGATCTTTTATTTTGAAATTTATCGATTAGTTTTACCGTCAAATCGCGTTTTAACTTTATAGATTATCTCTTCTGTTCGACACTCTCGAATTGATCAGACATAAAAATTGCAGAAATATAACCAACTCTTTGCGTAATTAGGATTATGAATATTTTTGCTTGTTTGTTATGTGATCGAATCCAAAGTGATCAATGATGTTAACTTGAGTACAACTCGGAAAGTAATCTTTGAAATCGACTCGTTCAGTTGATGTATGGAGATATTTGGATGAAGGCAAGGATCCATGAAAAAAATTCCTCGGTTAGAGCAGGATGTGTCGATGGTGAAATTGATAGCGGCTCCGAATGAGAAATCGAAGAGCTGAGTTCGAATTCCTATCGCCTAAATACTCTTGGGAAAGATATGAATCTATCTCCTCCCCTACTATAGTTTAAATAGTAGGACTTGTGTCTGGAAAAATCAGTTATTCTCAAAAATTCTTAATGCAATATTCACCCGAGGAAAAAAAAAAATTATTCTTAATATGTTACAACTTTGAATAAGCCATAAAGGGTTGATAAGCCGTAAAAAACAAATAAATCCATTGCTTACTGAATTCTGAAATAAAATAGCTGTAAATGAGACATTCAAGATTTTTATAAACTATATTCTTAGAGCAAAATCTAAAGTATTGTCTGCATGAATAATCCTCAGTGCCAAGGTGACATTATTGATTGCTTCAGTCTAGAAATCTCTTTCCCAATATATATATATATATATATATATATATATATATATATATGATTTAAAAATTGTATCAGATTTTGAGCTGAATCGTTATCATTATAGCGTAAATTTATATGCATAGCATTCTCATCCTTGCCATTTTTATCACAACGTTTCGACTCATGTGTTTTTCGGTCTTCCTTGCGAGTGTATTTCAGCCGATATGGTGGCGTGTTCTTTTGACAGCCAAGCAGCTGATCTCTCCTGTAACAGCTCAAACTTGTAAACTGGTCACATTCATTACCTCAAAACTAAATTAGTAACGCACTATAAGCACCGAGCAGGCCATGAATTTTTCGACTAAGGCGATGAATGGGGGAATTCATATATATGATTCATCACTAAAGATGCTGGAAAAATGGTCAGTTCCCTGTTCCATTTTAGTAAGTATCAAACTCCTCCTGCTATATTCTACCTTTACAAGAGCCAGATCAGGCCGAATATCGAGTACTGCAGCTCAGTCTTCACTTTGTAGTCTTGATAGAATTCCGCGTCCTTGTGGGTGATGAATTATTTCCTGTCCTACAACCCTTTCTTACAGACGAAACGCAAGCCGCTCGTTACTGTACTGTTATCTCTATGGAAATGTTCTGACGAGCTACATCCGTTACTTCCACTTTCTCTGAGCCTCACATCTAAGACCCCTCACCCCATGCCAGGTACATTGGGTCGACCCATCATCATTGCCTTCTTATTCCATTAGTAAGAAGAAAGTTCTGCTTGAACAACTTCTTCCCACAAACCGCTAATAAGAGGATTGCTTACAATCTTAATCTGTTCATTTTTAGGAAAATACGACTCAAGATAAACCTTTCCAAAACAGAAATTATAATCAGGAATTGGAATGAAAGCATTGATGGCACATAACTTGAATCCATCATAAACATTCAGGATGTGGAATTAGTAAATACTAAACACTTTAAATACTTCGGCGTTAGTTATAACAAATTTACTATAGAAGAAGAACAAATTGAACCTAGAATAGGCTGCACCAGAGGGAGTTTCGCCCAACGCCACAAATTGCTACAAAACCAAAACATCAACCTGAAAACACGAGTTATTTTCTTAAATAACCGCATCAGATCGAGACTTTCATTATGGATGTCGTGCATGACGCTAAACTCGTTCAGAAATATTTAAACTGTCAGCTGTATGCAACTTTTTTTTTTCTCAGATCAGCGTTTAAAATAGTTTTGAATGAGTGGAGCATGTGGATCTTGGTGAAGACATCTTTCTTTAAACATTGTGGATTGACGCTACAGAATCATAAACAAGGAACTGTATCAAATAAAAGAGACCACATCACTTGAGGACTATCAACAGCAGAAATAACTAAAATGAAGAGAAAATAATGATGTAACATATTAACGAATCACACTACTTCAATAAAAAAAAAAGTTAGGAAGGCCCCACCTCTCCCATCACTACTAAAAAAAAGCGATAACCACTATTGGACTCTAAGAAACCTATTTTCTTGAAAACTTGTTTTAAGAGAAAGATTTTATAAATTTCAATCGATGGCAGTACTGGATGCTCGGTCAATGAATACCAAATGTTTCCTTATAGGGAAACGGCTAATATTACTATTTTCCACATATCTCACATATTCTTATAAACTGCGCCTCCTACCTCTTACTCCTACCGCTCAATCAACAATCTCCTTCAGTAACCCTCTACCTTGAGTGGCTCTTTCACGTTGCATGGTGTGAATACTAGTGTAAAAAGAAGTTCAAATTTTAATAATTCTTTTTCGGTTTTTATAAAAATCTGCACTAATGTGATGAGACAAAGAATCATGTTGCTAGAAGATTGATTTGATCCTAACCAGAAAAAGTCACATTTGTGACTCATTCATTTTGATGTTATTAGTGTCAAATGAATTTATTCTTTTTTGCTGTTCATCACAATATTGCATTTAGTCTATGCAAGCTATTTCCCAACATTGCATATAGTTTGTTATGCTGTACAGAGTTGCACAGTTCGCTGCGAATATTTACGTGAATTTAATAAAAGACGCAATAAGTCATGAAAGAAGAGATTCATTTGAGAATAAATTGGCTTCAATGATCTTGAGGCTCTTCTTGTCGCTTCTACTTAATCAATCCGCCGTTACTATCAATGGCTGCTTAAATGAGACTTCTGAAACCTTGACATGCCTGAATCAGTGGATCTTTATCTATTTTGGACAGTGTACTAATTATGGTGGATATTTTATAGTACTATAGGTGTAACAGAGAGAGGTATACACATACACCCACATGAACGCACAAACGCAAATATAACTTTTATTGACTGGAAATGGAAACAGTTTTTATATATCAAAGTACAATTTGGATTAAGATGTGTGTTTACCGATGAGAAACACGATCTCAGGGCAGGAGGCGATGTTTTAAACCTGGGTCACTAGTAAACAATGGGGATGGGCGAGATACTTGGTTTTGTTTAACAGTATTTGTTTTGATTAAAAGGTTGAATCAATGTTTAGATATCCCAAAGTATAATTTTGGTGAAGCGAGAAGAACTCGTGATTGAGATAAGGTAAATAATTGGAGAATCGGTTTACATGTCAAGGGATAGTTTTTGGCACTCGTAGTAGCTGCGTGCCGAGCCGAGGGTCAATTGTGATCAGTTGATCCTTTTTCTATATTAACTTGAGTTTTTGCTAATAAAGGAGAGTCGGGGAAAGAGACTTTCGTCGCAGTGAGTCGAGAGATTTGCGGGAGAATTTCGGAGGAGAGAAAGAAGACTGCCCCCTGTTCTGAGAAGTCTGTATGAGACGGGACCATTAGTCATAAACCTACCCCAGGCGATTCAATACGCGTTTATCACACACAAACCCTCTCTCTGTTGGGAATTCGCTGGATGCATTTTGTCTTTTTCTTTTCTTATTTATGTTAAATGTTTCTATTCTCCCTGTAACCTCTGTTGTTATCTTCTTATGTAAAAGACGTCAATATTTCCCCCATTGTTGTTTGTCTTCTGCAGATATTATTTCTTGTTTTATTTTGCCACATTCTAAACTTCCTACCGCCAACTCTCACAGCCGTGTCCACACCCCCAGTCGACCGTGAACGTATGGACAACACACCGCTTACTGGATCTAAAAAACTAACACAGCGTGGGCAGCAAACAGGACTTGACCAGTTGACCAATCGAAATAATCTACGGGTACTCAGGGAGCGTACGGCCAGTTACCCCTAAGTTCGGTTTGGACTGAGTGGACACTTCAACTCAAAGAGGAAGACGCCGGAGGTTGAGGCGTTGATTGACTTCCCTTTCGATTATACCTCATACGTTCAATGGGTTCAGGTCTGGAGGTCTTATATTTGGCTTCTCTACATCACATATGAATTGTATCGAAGACTCTCAGTCACAGTTCTTTCGACAGAATCCTTTGAAACATTGAGCTCCTTAGCAATAGCGTTAATTGACGTTGTCGAGTTCTTATAGATAATTTTCTGCACTTTTCGTACAAATTTGAGTGTTCTGATGTTATTGGGCACCTTATTTGGTGTTTTACCTTTGGCCACTGTTGTAGAATCTCTATCAGCGGCATTGCGATCTTTAACAACAAACAACCGTACAACATTCAGGAAGCGAGCAAACTACTATGCACTGCCTTTAAGTGATTATAGGGTGTATTTTTTTTAAGTGATTATAGGGTGTATTTTTTTCATTTGAGTTAGCTTCATGTTTGTCATCATTTATCTGAAAAGAAATGATGACCAGAACAAGTTATAAAAAGTTAGAGCTATTATAAGATGTGCCCCCAAAGAACTGAGAAACCTTGTCTATTCAGATAATATGAAGAATATAAGTAGAAAAATAGGTAAGTAATCAGTATGAGTCCATTTCACCAAGAGCTCTTTTATTGAAATCATAGAAATTTTCTTTATTATACTCCTGCTTTTCTCTCCCCGCCACCAACTAATTAGAAACAAAAACGGCAACAAATAGAGGAGAAACAAATGCTAACAGATGCAAAGAATTCAAAAGTTCGGACGTCATTGTCCCACATAATTGGTCTTTTGCATCTAGCTACGTTGTACGGTCATGTAACTTCAAAACTCCAATTTACAAAGCCCACACTCTTAAAAAATTCAAAACTAAAAATATATATCAGAAATGCGAAAATCAACGAAGATACCAAATGGTGTTTGTAAGAGAACGTCCTTTAAGCATACTGTTAACCTCACAACTGAAATTATTCGGACCGTGACGTAATTTTAAACCAATGTTCACATCTTCGAAAAATATAAACTTACACATAAGTAAAATATAAACTTACACTTAACTATCCAACCTCCTTTTGTTGGCTGATGACATCCGACCCTTCTTAACTAACTCTATGTCAGACAAAACAAAACCCAGGCGTATCCGAGATTTTAAGTAAATATCTTCGCATATTTGTCAGAAAAAGTACCACCCACTAAGATGAATCTCTAACACACCCTTTAAGAGTGACTTACAGATAAATGATGCCAATACACCTACTACCTCCCTGAATATTAGTTGTTGCCAGAAATCCTACCTGTCTATCAAGGAACCATCTAATTCAACAGCCAGACAGTCTGACATTGCTGTCTTCCTATTGTTAAATCAAAATCATTTTGTGGGACGAATATTATTGGAAACTTGAACATTCAATAATCTGTAGGATATCTCTTCTGACATTTTATTTAAATAACGTTAACAGCCACCAATGTCGCCATGTCCACAGTTTCCAATTTGATCGATCAGCTCGGATTTATCAATCAGTCTAAATCATTGATCACTTTGAACTAGCGTCCATCATCCGGAGGAAGGAGTAGCGTTATGACCCCCCTCTCCCGCTTTTGATCTTTGAGTCAAGAAAAGTTTTCTAATTCTCTTTTTAGACAAGCCACCCTAGAACTCTGGAGTAAAAGAAAAAGAAACGTGATCGTTGCGAAAAAAAGGAATCACAAAAAGCAATAATTACAAGGGTACAGCTTTCAATGCCAACATTGGACACGCCCAGCTCTAAAGCGTGTTATAGACCCCCACATGTTTCGTGAACTCTTCACCAATATAAAGTTGCATTGAGAACAATGATTATCATCCGTTGAACAAGAAGAATCTGTCTGGTTGTACATTATTATTAACATTATTATTAACATTATTATTATTGGCATCACAAACGAAGTGAATTTCCTGACCGGTGATCACATCCACACAATTAGAATCAAAATAGTGAAGCATAGAGACTTCTTTCTTTTGATCACTCAACATTCATACTTGCGAAGTTGAACGATCTTTTTTACTCTGCCTCTACCTAGCATGGCTATAACTAGATCGCCAACCTTGAACTGGAAGGTTTACTTTTAACGTCTTGTAGAAAGACAAGTAAAGCTAAACCGGAATTGGCTTTTTTTTGAGAATGGAATCTGTGAATTAACATTTGAGAATGTCGGTTGTTCGAATAGACTTGTTGACCATAGCAATGTGGTGGAATATTTTTTGACTTATCAGTATCCTTGCTATTGAAACGAGTCTCTTGAATTGTGATCACACCCAGTAATTCAAACACTTTAAATTCAAGTTGTCAGTTCCTGTGCTAGAAATTGCTGCTTTTCTATTTTCTGGAATTTTGTTGGCGGAGGCAGAAACACTTATTTGTAACACGTCGCCCATTGCTTGCAGATAGAAAGTGTCACAATCAGTTTTCGAGAGTGAAATCGACTCAAAGAAACTTAACTCGTTTGGTCAATTTTTCTGTTACTTTTGTACATTCTAAAATATAGAAGAGCTAATGTTATCTTGCAGGGATTCATTGATGCTTGCTTTTTCCGGAGGGATGTTTGCAGATTTGTCTTACACATCTATCATGGATGATGACATGGGTCTTTACTAATGTCTTCGTCGGAGCTGTAATTGACATCGCCCCCAGCAGTTACATATGATGTTATGTGCAAGAGTAGATCCGTACTTTTTATCTTTGAAACTGTGATTTTGTATTTTTAGTTGGAACTGGATTCTATACCGTTATTGGTTTTGGCATACCCTCCTTTGTACATATGACTGCCCCCTGACCAGATAGTTGGCAATGCCGTAGGCCATCGACTACAACTGGCTCCTGCCTGCCTGCTGATTGCAGTAGTGGATGTCAACGCATTTGAATTGATGTCGATTTTATTTTTATAGAGATGAAGATAATCTAATTTCCGTTGCTAGATCATATCCATCCGTTAATGAAGGTCAGATCAAACCCCTATGCAATGGTTGCAATTGCGCATCGACTAGAATTCACAGTACTGGAACTGAAGCGGGTTTTTTTTTTTTTGCGGGTTTGGGAGAAATAGTCTTTGAACACGGGATTGCAAAAATGACCAATTTTCTGGTAAAATCAACAATATGGCTGTCAGTCATCGTCTACAATCACCATCTTTTGCTTATGGTACACAAATCTTCGGAACGTTATAAACTGCGTCTATTCGAGCAATATTGAAAGTGGCCTTTTAATTCAATTAAATCCTTAAAAGCCACAAAACACTGTTCCTGATATTTAGTCTTCAAATGCAGATATTATTTCCTTCATTTTCTCGCCCTCCTAATATTGGTGTAGCAAAACATCCTAAGGGTAATACTTCTTCTTCTTCTTCTTCTTCAGAGAGAGAGAGAGAGAGAGAGAGAGAGAGAGAGAGAGAGAGAGAGTACTGGGTTAAAAAATTTACTGGCCAGCACTATCCACTCGATCAAATTACAGGTATCATTAAAGACTTACATTCACAGAAAAATTGTACATAAAATTAGCAGAGTAGATGTAGGAAGATAAATCAGTCTTTGGTTATTCCCACGAAATATATTTATCGATTTATTTTTACGAGGTCCTCATCAGTTTTCTTCTTTATTCGAAGACTTTATTTATTCCCTTTGTCCGGTACCATTGTTTTCCCCGTCATTGTTATTATCACAACATTTCGACTATCCTCTAACCTTCGTCAGGTGTCTGTCGATTTAGGTTATATTCAAAGAATTTCGAACTGAACCCATTTCATATTCTACGGATGTAAATTGTTCACTTTTCACTGTCCATGTCGGCATTAACACAATTTTTCTAATTGATTAACTATTAATACTTTTTCTTTCTTTTTATGAGTTCTGTTGAATTTGTTGTCTGGTCAAAGTTGCTTCATCAAGATTGTTAGCGTCATAAGTTCGATTCTCACTAGACTCGCTAATTGTTCGCTAATTAAGGCACTTGTATAGTCTTTAATTAATTGTTTAAGGCTCTTAAACATGGTCAATCAGTTTTTTTCCCGGGAAAGACCTACTGAAGTTTTCTGACTTCTGTAGATACAAGTAAATATTAAAATAAAATTTGGAAGAAAAGAAAATTTATTTAAGTCTTTAAATAGTAATATAAGACTTCACATTAATTCGAATCTATGTGCGGGGCTTATCATGAGACAGCAAGAATTCACGTATCAGACTAAACTTTTCTCAGAATATTTGTTAAATACCAATCATACTAATTTTTCTGTTGTGAAAAGTGCATCAGGTGTTTCTTTTTTTTGTTTTTTGCTTCACTTAACGTAAGCACTCATAATGCGTTGATCCCATATCTCCGGCTTTTCGAGGTTAGGATTAGCTCTGTTCTTTTCTTCAGGCAAAACAGGGAACAAAAATTGAAGCAGATGTGTCTAGTCACCGGAAGAACACCACCCCAATGCATTAAAAAGGAGAGGGTTGAGTCACCGTAACGGCTTTGCCGCGATGTTTGCGAGAACCAAGCTATTTTTGCTTTTACTCACGTATATGTCTATAAGGCATGGCATTAATTCATTTAACATGAGACATCATTCAACATTTTCCCCATCGGATATTATCAAGAGCTGTACATATACTGAGGTAGAGTAGATTAAATGCGGTATTTTGATGAATGAAAAGATTATAATTGATGATTAATGAAAGGATAAATATCAATGGGTTTGGGTCACAAGAGAGATTCGATCCGTTTAAATGACTGTTCACTCCCGAACAGAACCTTAAGCTTTATTCTTTCTGCCCGATTCACGCTCTTTAATAACGGCCGTAGACTAACGATCGCAAGAGCAACTGAAATGAAGATAGAAGCAAATACTAGTCGAAAATTAACAGACACATATATAGAATTAGAAAGAGACAGATGAAATTTCCAGGACTCAAAATAAGGAAAGAAGGATTAGAAAATTTGACACTCACAAGACAGAAGGAAACAGTGAGTAACCTAACAATCTTGTGCAAAATGAATGGCGCCACTAGGCGTGGGAAGGATAGTAAATAGAGAAACATTGCTAAGGGTAGGAAGTTGTACAGAGTTATGATTTCCCATGTCCTGTAGAGAAACAGAAGACAGAAGAAGAAAAAGAAGTTGATATTAAATTTGAAAAGTTCTTTTGCGAACATTTGCTCATCTTATATCATAAAATGGACGAAGGTTTTTTTTTCTTTATAAGCATCCATATTGTGTGGCAATTCCTATTTGCAAACAAGGTGCTAGAAAGGAAAAAGTGTTAATAGGATATGTGTTGTTGATATCGGCTTGGTGTCAAAACTCGGAGAGCGGAGTTGGAATTCCAGTCGAGTTCATTATATTCACTTACGCACAAATAGCCTTGGCAAAGGTATGAATCCATCTATTTTCTCCCAGCTATGGGTTAAATGCTAGGACGGGAAAAATCATCATGCATTGTAAGATACATGATCGTCCAAGCATGTGTCACGTATGACACTTAACTGACTGAATGGGAGAAGATAGACTAAATCAGATGTTAAAAGTCTTTCTGGAGGAGGTGTTAAATTTAAAAGATTTTTTTTTTATTCTAAATGTCTAGACAGACATTTTTTTGATGTTTTGATTTTAAATTCACATTTGGTTTTTGTTTATACTTATTTTCTGGAATGAGACGTCCGTATAGATGTGTTTTTTTCTGCACATGAGACATAGAGTTTTTAAAAGGTAATGTTTTCGAAAAAAGTGGGTAGGGGAAATAAAAGAAGTTTTATTTATTTAAATATGAATAGCAATAATGATTTTAAACAAATGATACCTCTCAACTGAACAGCATTGTCATAAATTGAGACCAAATAGGGAAATTTAATTTTCTATTTAATTTAAAGCCCGAGAAAAATTTAGCGACGATTAACAAATTTTATATTCAAAAGGCAAGATGCTATGATGTCAAAAATAGCTTGATTACAATACAAAATAGTGTGTGTGTGTGTGTGGGGGGGGTGCTATGTCAGATGATAAGTTTTAAAGTCTTCTATGTGCTGTGTCTCTTAAGGACGTGTGCGATTATAGCTCTCCACAGTTTCCTGTCCTTTGTAGTACTGAGCAAAGTCTGTCTTTTTGCTAAATCTCCTAATTAGCGTTCTGCCAACCATTTTTTCATTTCATTTGCCATTATTTTCTTTAATTAATTTCTTTAATTAATTAACCTATAAACTTTTTCCCGTATATCAGACTTATATAAATGTTTTGCAAGGTAATATTTCGAAATAAAAATAAAAGAACTGAAAATTATGTTTTCTGGTTTATTGTTTAAAATTAATGGCAATAATGTTTTTAGACAAATGAAACAGCTGAAACGCATTGTCATAGGTTGAGAACAAGATGAGAAGGTTTCAGTTCCAGCAAAAAAGTGAGCCCTCCCTATAGCCTCGTGAAAGATTTGGTGTCCAGAAAGTAAATTTTCCAAAGTGAACATCAAAGAATCATTCAATATCCAACAATTGGAACAAAGACTCACCAACTCAGCAAATGCACAATTTTTTTCCTTTTCTTTAGACAGAATTTTCATATTTTTCCCCTTATGGAAATAGTATAGTTATGGTGAGAATAACTGTTTCTATACAGTAAACATTAGGCAATCATTGATCGAACAATAACTGTTACTGTCGGTTGAAATATATATAAATATATATATATAAACATATAATATATATATATATATATATATATATATATAAATATATATAAAATATATATAAATATATAAAATATATATAGATACATAAAATATATATATAAATATATAAAATACATATATATAAATGTATAAAATATATATATAAATATATAAAATATATATATAAATATATAAAATATGTATATAAATATATAAAATATATATATCAATATATAAATCTTTTTTCTTGAAACAGTTTTCTAGGAAATTAGACGAGTCTTCTGTTACCATTCTTTTTAGTACTGTTGGCAATTTTCCTTTCAAGACTTTTGTTTACGGTTGATTATATTGATTATAGGATTATTTTCTATTCTAGTTAGATGTGCTATCCATTTTAGTTGTTGCAGCCGTTGGGAGAACACAATGACATTTCAACCCTGACCCCAGAAGATGCCTGCAGAAATAGAACATATACTAATATACAACCAACTATTACAAAGTCTATCTACAAACATAACCAATAATAAACCTACTGATGAGAAAAAACTATTAAAAAACAAACAAACTAAGGAATAATAAATCAATTGACATTTTGGAACATATCTTACTTTCTCCCCAAATTCAATAAAAGTTTTACAATTTTATGAAGGAAAGTCTAGAATCAGACACGTATCCAACTAAAAGTGATGTTTTTATGCTGCATTAATTGCCTATGTTTTATAAATTATGCAAAAACTTTTGGAAAAGATATTAGAATAATTTAGTACCTAAACTAGCAGCAAACTGCCTGCATACAGATAGGAAATGAGTTCATTAAATATACAAAAATAAAAGGGTGTGTAAGACAAGGATGCTTTTTCTTACCAGACCTTTTCAACTTATATGCCATTCTGAGAGAATTAGTATTCCTACCAGGATTCATTATTGGTGGCCACAATATAAGTTATGCAGATGACGCAGTGTTGATAGTAGTCACAGAAAGAATTATTTGCAAGAAGACTGAATTCATGATTGTTAATAAAACGAACAGCTCAATGTACAAATTACAAATTGGTGATATCAAAATCAAATAAGTGCAACAATTTAGATATCTGTGAAGCGTATTAATAGAGGACGTGCGACACTGAAATCCGAAAGCACACTGAGATAGCGAAAGATGCCTTCCAAAAGATAAGTAAAGTATTAAGAAACAGAAAAATGTCGTTAGAAACAAAGAAAAGAGTACTGAACTGTTACGTAATACCAGCCCTACTATATGGCAATGAATGATGGACAATATCCAAGTTCTAAAGACAATAGCAACAAAAAGGACACTTATGATTAACATCAGGAAGAGACATTTCTGAAGCACACTATGAGAAACGAGGGCTTAGAAAATTTGATACCCACAGGACATATTAAGGGTAAGAGGGTCAGGTAGGTTATAGGTTGCATAACCTACCTGGTGAGGTTAAACGAATGGATGGTGGAGCAAAGTTTGGGATGGAGGGCAAAAAGACAGAAGTTATTAAAAGCTACAGAGCACAGGAAATTGTGAGAGCCATGATCGCCAATGTCCTGAAAACACACAATACATAGAGAAAGAAGAATGCACCATGGAAACAAAAAGTAGCCCTTAAGACTCTCACAGATACAGAGATATTTCAATTATGGTGAAAGTATATTTATGAACATTATATTAACTAGGCTCTCATGAAAGTCAATTCACAATTTGGTTTTCGTTCTGGTAAAGGATGTAATGATAGCATGTATGTCATTAAACA